CCTGTTGCTTTAGGCATCTGGGGTGTCAAGTGGCAGTGGGGGAGGAGAGAGTATATGTCAAAAGAAACTCACTTGTAACCAGGAGCTAAAAGAGGAAGAGGAAGGGCCCGGGCTGCACAACCCTAACAGCAGGTTCTTCCCTAATGACTCATCTTCCTTTTAGTGGGCTCCCTTTCCAAAAGATCCCACCATCTCCCATAGTACTACCCTGAGGATCAAGCCTTAAACTCATGGACCTTTGGGAGACTTTTAACATCTGTCTTAATTTCTTTTTCTGTTGCTCTAGTAAAATACTCTGACAAAAGTAACCTAAGGGAGGAAGAATTTATTGTGGCTCATAGTTTGAGGTACAATCAAGGCAGCAGGAGCTTGAAGCAGCTGGTCACATCCCACCCACAGTCAGGTAGTGGAGAAGTACAAAGACAGGCTGCTGCTCAGCTCCCCATCTCTGTTTATACTGTTCAAGATCCCAGCCATGGAAGGGTGCTGCCCACAATGGGTCAGTCTTCTCTCTTCAATTAACATAACCAAAATAATCCCCCATAGGCATGCCCAGAGACCTGTCACCCAATAATTCTAGATTTTGACACATTGACAATCAGTAATAACCGCCACCACATCCAAGCTATAGCAAGCACATTATGAAGCTTGTTGTAAATGCCTCCTGTACTTGACCCAGTAGGTGGCTTACACTAAGATTGCTCTCCCAGACTAAAGAGGGACAGTAGTGTAAATTGTAACCACCATGTTGGTTGAATGACTGTGGGTTTTTAGAACATTTTATCAGAAAACGTTATGGATCATGTTGCTACCTACCCTGCATGAGTTGGGGATGAAACAGCAAAAATTAAAATTGTAGAATCTGGAGTCCTATCCATTTGCGGAATAGGAAGTCTCAAAGTGAGTGGAAACTTGCCAGTGGCTTTCATCTTCCTACCAGAAAATGATGGTTACTTAGGAGAACAGTTCTGCTAAGAGGCTTTTAAAATGCTATAGGGAATGCACTATGGAGAGAAGGCGGGATCAGACCCCAGAGACTTACATGGGAGGAGCCCAGTACCTTTGAGATGTGAGGTAGAGATGGAGCCACTCCCTGAAAGAGGACAGTGGAGAATGGGTCCTGAGGCTGTAGGGATGCATGCACTTTGTCTAAGCTAAATAATGCTGTGCTTCATTAAGGGAGAGTCTCCAACCCTACTTCAGGCCATTAGGGGCACCTGAAGGGGCTGAAGATATAGCTCAGTTGGTAGAGAGCCTGCCTAGCATGCACAAAACCTTGGGTTCGATTCCCAGCACTACATATACCAGGCATGGTAGTGCATGCCTGCATCCCCAGCACTCCAGAAGTACAGGCAAGAGAATCAGAAGTTCAAGGTCATCTTAAACTACATAACAAGTTCAAAGCCAGCCTGGGCTATATGAAACTTTGTCTCTAAAAAAACTCAGGAAATAATTGCCTGTGACTAGAATCCATGTGTCCCTCCACTGTCCACATATCACTCTGGGCTATGGGCACAAACAGGAAGGAGACCAGAGGAAGTCTGGCTCATGTGTGTTAAATGCAAACCAGCCAGTGGGATTTCCCCAGCCCACGTCAACCTCAGTTGCACTCCAGCGTCCGGAACTGGTGGAATCAATCATCAGCAAAATCTATATTAAAAAAAATAACAAAACCCTGTCAGGGAGCTGCCGCCTTTTGAAAAACCTGAATACAAGGTAAATGAGTGGCAGCCACTGCAGGGGCAATTTTACAGTGAAAGATGCTGCCTTAGTCTTCAGGGCGTCTTCGGCTCCCTCCTCACGCCCATTTGAGAGAACAAAGGCCTTCAAGTGCTGATCACCCAGTTTTGGGGAGAGCTGAGAGTCCTACCCTCCTGCCCCTATTTGTTTGGACCCTGACAAACAGCCCAGAACTTTGAGTGAAGTCCAGCTAACTATTGAAAATATGTGTTTGTCTTTTCCAAAAGATAGGCCTTGATACTCTCAGAAATGAGAGAGACTTTGAGAAGGCCTACCAGGTACTCAGTATTTTACTGACTCTGCTTGTCATTTTATTCCATAGAAGAGGAGGTGGGGCTGAGATTTTAGGGCTTGTGTTAGTCACACTGTGGAAAAAATAACTGACAAGCAATTCAAGGAAGGAAGGATTTACTTTGCCTCACAGTTTGGGGGCACAGTCCTTCTATCCAGCAGGAAAGGCAATGCTGGTGGGAATAGGGGGCAAGTGGTCACACCATGTCTACCATCAACAAGTAGAGAGAGATGCAGTCTGGTGCTTAGCTTCTTTCCTCCTTTTTACTCAGTCCTGGACCCCAGCCCATGGGATGGTGCCACCCATATTTGTCATGAATCTTCCCACCTCAGATGAATGTCTCTGGAAACGCCTCACAGATATACACAGAGATGTCTCCTATGTGACTCCAAAGCCAGTCAGGTTGACAATGAAAATTCATCCCCACAGGGCTCCGCTAGCTTGATATTTTCATTTTCTTAGTTATTGCAGCTTGACGTTCACAACTCTGTGTGTGTGTGTGTGTGTGCACATGCATGTATGCACGTGCCTACACATGTAGATACCAGCTGCAGGTGTCATTGCTCAGCAACTGTCTACCTTGGCTTTTGAGATGGGGTCTCTCGCTTTTGCTGGAACTTGTCCATTAGGCTAGACTAACTAGCCCAAGTGCCCCTGGGATCCCTCTGTCTTTGCCTCCCCAGTGCTGGGATTTCAAAGCTATACTATCATATCTGGCTTTTTCACATGTTTGTGTATGAGACCTCATGCTTTTACAGCAAGCACTGAGCTTTCTTCGCAGTCTCCTCAAAACGGCTTCTTCATCCCCTTTACTGCCAACATGCAGGCCTAAAAAGCTGAGAGTTTGTTATCTCCTGAGGTCTGATCCCCTGCTAGACATTAGTACCCCAGACTCAACTACCTCTGTGAAGGAAGGGAGCCCCTGGTTATAGTGCAGGAGAACATAAAATCATGAGCATACATACTTTTAAAGAACTAGTCTTACATATTCCCTTCACTACTACAAGGGATGGATAAGGAGTGCTGTGCCCTTGCACTATTCTGTAGAGTTTGCCTCTGAAGGAAAACCAAACCTAATTTGTATTTGGTTACAAATGGCCATGAGACCTGTTCCTGTTGAGAATCTGTTTTCTGTACATGGCTGACCATGACCTTGCACCAGAGGAGTGGCTCTGTCATTGGATTTCATTTCTTAGGGCTCACATGACAATTTTCCACAAACTGGGTGGCTTAAAGGAACACGTTTCATAGTTCTGAGGGCCGGAAGTCCAAAATAAAGGTGTTGAAAGTATTGATTCCTTTGGGGGCCTCGGCAAGGAAATCTACTGTGTGCCTCTTTCGTGGCTTCTGGTCTTTCTGCAACAGTTGTTGGCAACTTCCTTGGCCTGTGGATACGTCATTCTGATTTCTGCGGCCGTCTTCACATGGCATCTTCTCTGTGGCTTTGAGTCCCAAATCTCCCTCTTTCATTTATTTATTTTTATTTTATTTTATTTTAATTTAATTTAATTTAATTTTTTTGGTCTTTTTAAGACAGGATCTCCCTGGCCTGAAACTCACTATGTAGACAGGCTGGCTTTGAACTCACAGAGATCCACCTGCCTCTGCTTCCCAAGTGCGGATTAAAAGTATGTGCCACCATCCCTGGCCTCCTCTTTCATTTCTAGAGATACCAGTCACTGGATCCAAGATAATCTCATCTTCAGCTCCTTAGTTACACCTGCAAACTCTCTATCTCCAGGGGCCAGAGAGATGGCTCAGTGGCTAAAAGCACCTGCTGCCCCTGAAGAGGACCCAAGTTATGTCCTCAACACCCATGTTGAGTGACCCACAACTCCCTGTAATTCTAGCTCCAAAATATCTGAAGCCCTCTTCTAGCCTCCGCAAGTACCCACATACATACAGCTTATACTTACATAGACACAAGCACATATGAATAGAAATTAGAATAGATGCTTTTTAGAAAGACTACAGCTTCATACAAGATCATATTCACAGGCCCTGAAGATTAAAACAGGGGCAAGTCAGCCCGTTTCAGCCCGTTTCAGCCCCAAAGGCACTGTTTCTTGTTACTCTTCACGCAGTCATGTTTCCACTCTTTATGGCTTTCGTCCTTTTCTCTTTGTTTTCTTCTTTTAATTTTTATTTGTTTTTGGTATGTATACAATATGTGTGTATATTATCTGTGTTTGTAAACACTGTATGTTTGTGTATGGTGTGTGTATGACGTGTATATGTGAGTGCAGGTGCACACGTGAAAGGACACCTTCATCTTCCATCTGTCTGTTTGATTTGAGGCAGAGTCTCTCTTATCGTTTCTGCCTCTGTGGTGAGTATACCAGGCTAGCTGGGCCAAGCTCAGAAGATTCTCCTGTCTCCACCTCCCATCTGGAATAGGAGCACTGGATCACAGATGTGCACTACCTCATCTAGCTTTTTTTATGTGGGTTCTGGGGATCTGAACTCAGGCTATCAGACTCAAGCTACAAGCACTTCTCCCCACTGTGCCATGCCCCCAGCCCTGTTGTCCTTTTTCAAAGGCTGCTCATATGGGTTGTTGGGCTGAAGCCTGTCCCTAGCATTGGCCTGTCTCCACCCTATTTGAGCTTAAGCATCCTTTAAACCACTTTTCCCATACCATTTCCCTGTGGCAAAGGCCAAATTGGCCAAACTCCAAATATGGTGCCTCCCAGGGCCTAATTCTTACATTCAGTCAAAGAGGAAAGACTTACAGCCCTTGGCGCCTTCCTCCTCCAAGCCAGGCTGTCTGCCTTATGCATTGTGAGAGCACATAAATGTATACAGGGACTCACTAACTACGATAAAAACCAGGGAGATGGGTAAGGATGGGCAAGGAGAGGAGACACCTCAGAATTACCCTGATGGCGGTACCATTGTATCCAGAAAGTTGCAATAAGACTCTGAACAGACTTTTAATTATATATTTTTTTTCCTTCTTTCTTCTTAGCAAACTTCCTAGTTGGGCTAGAGCTGTTGTCCCCAAAATATTTTATGTGACTGAGAAGGCTTGGAACTATTATCCCTACACAATTACAGGTAAGTCCAGCCACATGAAGAAATGCAGAGATATAGCAGTCGTGGAATTTCACTCAGTGAGGGCTGACTCTCCCTGCAGGGCCTTGTGGGTGCTCTGGAGAACGAAAATAGAGCTTTATAGCTCTATGGATTTCCTTATCCATATTTTTCCCTGTAGTTTGTCATGAACAAGTTGTTCAGTTTGGCTTGTTTTTATTTTACAGCCTGCCCCAAAAGATCATCATTTCTATAAAATTTTCTGTTTAGTTTCCTGCCACCTCCCCTCTGCCTGCTCAGAGAATGTGAAATTCTTTAATATCACTATCCCTGTAATGCAATGATTTAAAAAAAAAAAATCTCTATATTGAATAATGTCCAAGAAACTGCCTCCCCTGCCCTCCCATTCTGAAGATTTCATTCCAGCTCACACACAAAGTTCAGGATCCTGCTTCAACATCTTAACAAGCTCTTCATAATAGTTGTAAAAGCTGCTTTTCCACCTAAAAGATTTCTTCTGTGGTTAATGAAATGTTCTACTGGAATTATTAGTACTTAATTCTGCTTTTAGAATACCAATGCTGGGTTTTTAATTAGCTGCAAACCTATAGACTAATTGAATTTTGTCTCACTGACCTTATCTGGTCAACCACAGGAGCGTCATGTGATGAAGTTTCAAAGCCAATGTGGAAATATTCAGTATTTATGGAAGATTGTTAGATGTTTCTTTAGCACATTTTTACGATTGTAACTTGCTGGTATTTGTTAGTTGTGTGGTTTGTGTTCAGTATCACTGATCTAATTCATTGTTCTTCTTTTCTTTCCCGTGTCACCATCTGAATGTCTGGAATCAGAATACACAGTAAGTTTCATTTAATTTTTAAAATGCTCTGTCTGATCCATGGACTAATTGGTCTATGCCTCATATTTATCTTGTTGATGTAGTAGTTTTAATAAAAAGGAATAATTCAGAATAAGAAATATTTAAATGTAGGCTATTATATAGCTTTATATATAATACAATCATCTCAGTGGTCTTATTTTTTTCAAGAATATTAATGTAATTCAAAGTGCCATAATAGTCACTTTACATAATTAACTTACTCTTGTAATTCTTAAATAACCTGACTGACTATAATATAAGAACAGTGTCTAGCAATGTGTTAGGAAAGATAATGTGGTGTTTGGGTGGAGGGAGGGGCTTGTGTATTGGGAAGATACATACGCAAAGGATCATACTCATGACAGAGTCCTTTGTTTATGTGACTTAAAATAATTTAATCTCAGGCTAGAGAGATGACTTAGTGGTGAAAAACACTTGCTGTTCTTCCAGAGGACCTGGGTTCGATTCCCAGCACTCACGTGGTAGCTAACAACTGTCTGTAACTCCAGATTTCAGGGGATTTGACACCCTCTTTTGGCCTCTGTGGACATTGCACACATGTGGTGCACTTACATGCATGCAAGCAAAAAACTCATACATATAAAATAAAAATAATAAATAAAATATTGAAAAAATAGCCAGGCATGGTGGTGCATACCTTTAATTCCAATACTTGGCAGGCAGAGGCAGACGTAACTCTGTGAGTTCAAGTCCAGCCTAGTCTACTTAGTGAATTCCAGGCCAGCTGGGGCTGCAGGGAGACCCTGTCTCAAAAGACCAAAAACAAAACAAAACATTTAAAAATATCTTTTAAATAATAATTTAATTTTTTTCTCCTGTCCTAAGAGACAGGCCCTAAAATACTGTTATTGTGTTGTGTTATTTTCTTTTGGGTCATCTTCCCTGGTGGCCCACAGGTCAAGCTATCCTAACAACAAAATGCTAAACTGAGTTGTGATCAAAGTTGAGTTTTTTTATTTCAGTCAAAAAACTGGGCGAGGGGGGCAATGTAAAATGTAGAGGAACATTATTTATCATGTCCTTGATGTAAATGGAGCACATTATTTATCATGTCCTTGATGTAAGTGGAGCACTTTACACTTATTAGGTACTCATAAATGATTATGGAATGACAGAATGGCTGGGAGGGAGGGAGGAGCATCGGAAAGGGTTACCTGGGTCCTGAAGTCTGATAGACCTGGGTGTTCCCTGGTTTCCCACTTGCTGGCTGGAGTTGCTCGGTAGCTGGTGTCCTGATTTCCACTTCCTCCACCCAGGCTGGCCCCAGCTCTCACATATCTTCTGCTGAATGAAAAAAAGAAAAGTATCTGTGTAGGGGATGTTGTTAAGTATTTGAAGTTTTCTATAAAATTAAATTTATTTCACCAACAGTACTGTTGGTCATTACTTCATCTCATATTAGAGTATTAACTGTCATTTCTTTTTATAAAATAATAGAAATAGATAGTAATTTTTACCTAATGCCCCCAACTTTCAAAAAAGGGCAACAACTCTAGGGCAAAATTCAAATTTAAAAATTTAGGACGTCTTTAATCCCAGCACTCGGGAGACAGAGGCAGGCGGATCTCTGTGAGGTCAAGGCCAGCGTGGGCTATATAGTGAGTTCCAGGCCAGCTAAGGCTACAGAGAGACCCTGTCTCAAAAAGACAAAAAGAAAAAAGAAAAATTTAGGAACGCTAAAGCAAGCAGCTTAACTTTCCTGAACCTGCTTTTTTGTCTCCTAAAATTGGGGAGAAATCTTTCCTCCTAGACCTGTTAGCAGAAGGATTCAGTGATCTCACATGGAGACTGGAGAACATTTCAGGAAATCACTTCATTAATATTTTCTCCCTGTGGGTCATAATGGTGTCTGTCATTGCCAATGAAGTCAGAGGTAATGTGTAAACACGGGCACGATCACATTTACACAGACCAAATTTGGCCCCTGGGGGACTAGGGAGCTGGGTCAGTTGGTTAAAGTGCTTACTGTACAAGCATGAAGACCTAAGTTCAGATCCCTAGTACCCACATTTATAACCCCAGTGCTGGGTGCAGTGATACACATCTGTAACCCTAGTGCTGGGTGGTAGTGTATAGAGACTCTCTGAAACCCATTGGCCAGCCAGCCTAACTGAATCATTGAGCTAATAAAAGACCGTATCTATAGAATATGCTGGAGATAGGTCAAAGAAGACACCCACCATCAACCTCTGATTTCCATGACTTGCACAGCACATGCATACAAATGCACCTACATGCATATGTGCAACAAACACATATATACAACACACACACACACACACACACACACACATACATACACTCAGGAGGTAGACTTTGGAGTTGATTGAATGTTGCCTCTAATATCTTCAAATGGCTTACATTTTCATTTGTTAGTGGGAAAAATATAAAAACTACCTGATGAAAGTGTTGTGACAATTGTATTAAATAATGCTTTGAAATATTAGCCTGCTGCTTGGTACACGGTCAATATTCAGCATATACTTGTTCATGTGTTGTACGATATCGAGAGCTGCCATCCTCCTGATAGACACTGCAGGGGAGCTTAGTGCTGTTAAAGACAGACAGGATTCCAGCCATTGTTCTGGAAGGTATTGGTTGTCTAGGGAGTTGATCTCTGATGCTATCCTTCTTCCCACTTCTCTGAAAGCTTGTACCTAGACTTTTCATTTGACATGTAATCAATGTGGACAAGAGAGTTCTTGCCTGTATAACAACACAAACGCAGTTGTTTACCTACTGAGCCTTAGAATTAAGTCACCTTGATTTGACCCCATAGCGATGTCACTCATTCACTATGAGCTCGTGACAGGGCATAAAATGTAGACATGACAGATAATATTGACAGGGAAATGAAATTTGAACAATCCTTAGTGATACTGGGTCGTTTCTTAAGAACATGGACATGTTAGTTACTTTCCTCATTGCTGTTACCTAGTCCCTTATAAGAAGCAGCTTACAGAAAGAAGGGTTTATTTTGGTTTACAGTTAGAGGCAATACAGCCCATCATGGAGGGGATGGCATGGTGACAGGAGTGTGAGGCAGCTGGCCACACTGCATCTCCAGTCAGGAAGCAGAGAGAGATGAATGCTGATGTCCAGCTCCCTTTCTCCATTTTATTCAGTTCAGAACCCCAGCTCATGGAATGATGGCACTCACATTTAGGATAAGTCTTCCTACCTCTATTGATCCAATCTAGAAACTCCCTCACAGGCATGCCCAGGTTCTGGAAACAGAAGGCAAACACGACTCTTGACCCCACTATCCTGTGGGCCAGTGCACTTCCCCCATTGACGCTTTATAGTGGGCCTCCCTCCCTGTAAACCTTCCAGTGGCTGGTACCTCTACTGATATGGGGCCTTTGCCTCAGCAGTATTCCTGCAGCTTAATGAGGCTTATAAAGAGACTGAGTTATTTTATTCCTGTTCAAGAAAGTCTGGGGGCACAAGACATCAAGGGGAAGTTCATTCTATTTGTCCACTTTTCTATCACATGCCTTTCTGTTTAACTCAACATTTCACTTACCCTCACATTATTCTGCCCTCCTTTTGAAAATTCTTTCTCCCTCCAGTCTGTGCATTGCAATCTTTCGGTATGAAGTCAGCAGGCATTCACAAGTGCTAGTGCCCACATGTGCAAAACATCATTCTTGATGACACCATTGATCAGTTCCCTCTGTCTCTGGGGTCATAATCTGGTGGCAAATAACTGAACATCCTTGTCAAAGCCTGAGAGTCATCTGCAAACCCTGGGGTCTTACAGAGGCTGAAGGGACTCAGCTGGTCGCAGACTTGCCCCACCAGGCTGCACAGCAGCAAGCCGAGGTACCAGCTGAAGTTCAGACTGGAGGCAGGAAAGAATGAACACCAAGGGGAATCTGGTCTGACAAGCCACCAGAACATTAAGGAAAGGCCCCTGGCCTCTGGATCAGGGCCTTGGCTTTTAGAGTCAGGGCTACAGGGTGTCTAATGCAGAGACAGGCAAGGGCAATACAGCAGTCTTAGGCGGGAATACTCACATGGTACTAGGAGGCAAAGTCGTCAACCTTCAAATGGAAGTATGGGCTGTAGTTCCATTTGAATTTTCAGATAAATGGTGAGAGAGAGAGAGAGAGAGAGAGAGAGAGAGAGAGAGAGAGAGGAAAACTTGCTGTAGAAGTACCTCCTGTATGGGCACAGTTACTCTAAAAGGCTGTTATCTTGTATTCTCTCTGGTGCCCCTATAGAGGAAAGGTGGCGGTGTGGCAGAGCTGGGGTTAGAACTCAAGTATATAATCAGGTTATAAGAACAGACACCCTCTGGACAAAACATGAAGAAGCAGAAGGAAGTATCTAACCCAGGATCCTAGCCTACACTTGGCATCGACAGGAACTCCAAGGCCCGTCAAGTGCTTTGCGGAATCATTGAAAGGCCTCTCCTGTGCAGGAACCACTAGAAGGGCACTTCCCTCCCTCCATAAGGATTGGCACAGGGGTGAGATGGAGGGTGGGGGTGATAAATGGGAACAGATGAAGACATAAGTGTCAAGACTTTTTATTTTATTTTTTACTATTCTTGTGTGTAATGTTTATGGTTTGTGTGTGAAAGCGTGAGTATGCCCATGCTCTGGAACGTGTGTAGAGGTCAGAGGACAACTTGTGGGAGTTAGTTCTCTCCTTCCATTGTGGGTTCTAGGGAATCTAACGCATGTCATCTGGCTTTCATGGCAAGTGTATTTACCCACTGCACCATCTCACTGGCTGTTCTTGATGTTGAGACAGGGTCTCAAGTAGCCTAGGCTGGCCTCAAACTCACTATATAATAGAAAATGACCCTTGAACTTCAGATCCTACTGCCTCTACCTCTTGCATGCTGGAATTGCAGGTGTGTGTCATCATGTCCAGTTTATATAGCACTGGGGATTGAACCCAGAACTTCATGAATGCTAGACAAGCACTAAACCAGTAGAACCACATCC